CACTTGAAAATACCATGGCTTGGGTCAGGTGCCCTTAGTCCTCAGAGTGACATGCTTACACTTCAGCACTTTAGAGAGGTCCTGTAGCTGTCAAGGAGTCCAGGTAGACACAGAATGTCTGGAAACTGATTGGGGTAGCATTTTTACAATTCTACTTGACATGATTGAACTATGAAATGATATATGTATTCAATCCCAACTAATTAAATAAATAGAAAGGTCTTGTGCAGCATATCCTGGTTCATGTGTAGGTTTTCCATGAGCACAGTAAAGTGTTCTGAAGGTAATATCAGAACCAGGAATTTCACTCCTCTCTATATGACCTAGATAATGAAAAAAGATACTGTTGAGTCAAAAAGTATTGCAACCATGGTTCCACTTCATACATGTGCTTAACATGTCAAACAAAATGTGCTTAAACATGTCTCTGCCATCAGTGGATGGCTACAAACAAGTGCACTCCTTGATACTTATTTGTCTTCATCTCATTCGGGGGCCTTCACACACACATTAAAAAGTCCAAAGGGAACAGCGAACCAAATTCGAGGCAGAAAAATCAGCTCAGATAATTATCGAAACTGCTTGGGAGATCCAAAGAGTAATTTTGATATATTTTCTCAAAGGACAAAGGACAATCACGAGGCCTATTCTGATGAGTTGTTAAGAGAATTGTAAAATGCATTGGTGAGAAAAAGGCCAGAAGAGTTGTGTCCTGGAATTTTTTCCATCACAACCCTCTATTGGCTTCTCATCCTTTGAGGGCAGCAAGGACTGCCCTTGGAAATTTTCACTCAGAAACCATACCCCATCTACCGACAGCCCTGGTCTTGCCCCTCGAGATGAATTTTTGTCCTCAGAACTCAAAAACTCAAACAACATTAAAAAGGCACACAATTTGAGTCCCTCAAGAATGACAAAACTGCTGTCTTGATATCCTATAAATTGAAGAGGACAGAATTCTTTGGGCAAGGGTTAGAAATGGAAGCACCACGTTCAGATATATATAGATCTAGATGGAGGATGTCATGAAACAATAGCTTCACATTGTGATATTTTTATTTAATAAAGGTATCTGTGATTTTGTAACACTTTTCTTACTTACCCTCATATGTTCATGTAAAAATTTGTACACAAATATTCACAGAAGTAGTTTAACAAAATGGAATATCTTAAATGTCTATCAACTTTTGAGTGGATATTCAGCCATAAAAAATGTTTTAGATTAAAAAAATATCAATTTTGTTCAGATTCAATTTGAAAGCATTATAACAAATGAGATAATACCACATATGGTGCCCCAGTCACTGAGCCGCCGCCGGGACTCAGCAGCGTCCCCGTCGAGCCCCCTCAATTCCTGCCCGCCCCCCCTGCCCGCCTTCTCCAGCCGCCGCCTTCTGCAGGCCGTTTCCACCGAGGAAAAGGAATCGTATCGTATGTCCGCTCTCCAGAACCTCCACTCTTTCGACCCCTTTGCTGATGCAAGTAAGGGTGATGACCTGCTGCCTGCGGGGACAGAGGATTATATCCATATAAGAAGTCAACAGTGCAACGGCAGGAAGACCCTTACCACTGTCCAAGGGATCGCTGATGACTACGACAAAAAGAAAGGCCTTTAAGAAGAAATTTGCCTGCAATGGTACTGTGATTGAGCATCCAGAATATGGAGAAGTGATTCAGCTCCAGGGCGTCCACATTTAACTTGGACTAGTGTAACTCCTTCATGCAATAAACTGAAAAGAGCCATGCTGTCTAGTCTTGAAGTCCCTCATTGAAACAGAGGTCGAGCAGTAGGCGCCTGGCAGTGCCCAGTCTGAAACAAAACAATAGCATCATGTTTCAGCCAGGCTCAGAGCCCCGAGTTCTCAGATGGCTATGTCTGGCCAGAAACTCCCCTGCCCTAAGAAAATGGCATCCACCACCTGGACAGCCCCTAGTGGGGAGGAAGGGGTAAGGCAGCTGTGCCACTAGCGGGATGCTTTGGTAGCAAGAGAAAGATCCCCTGGTGTTGCGGGCCATAGGAGATCAGCCCCTTCCCTCTGGTAAGGTGATAGGGCTTCCGGCTTTGCCACCAAGGTCTTGGTTCTTTTTGACCAGACATATCCTAGCTAGGGGGTGTCCAAAGATCACTAGAATGTGAGGCCAATCTTGGATCAGCGTTAAACTTTTGACAAGGGAACAAATTTCAAAGGATGTAGCTAGCTGTAGCGCTTGAAACTTCATAGCCACAGCTGCCCAATGCCATATGAAGTAACAACTGGTCTCCCCTCCCCCTTCAGTTTTCATGTTATGTGATGTATTTAAACTTATTTAAATAAAACTTGTTTGCAGGGAAAAAAAACACATATTGTATTATTTCATTCATATAAAAATGTACAGAATAGGCAGTTTTATAGAAACAAAGTATATTCTTGTCTTTCAGAGGCTGAGGAGAGAAGGGAATGGGAATTAATTGCTAATGGATATGGGGTTTAATTTTAGAGTAGCAAAAATGATCTGGAATTACATAATGAGAGTGGTTAGAATGTTCTAGAATTAGAGAGTGACGATAAACAGTTTTTAAAACATAGTAAAAATTACTGAGTTGTATCCTTTAAAAGTGAATTTTACGGAATGTCTATTTTATCTCAAAGAGAAAAAATAAGAGGAATATTCTCCCTACCACAACTCCCAGTCCTTCTCCTAGGAAGCATGTAGCATGATTTGCTTTTAGGAAATCATTCCTGAGATATACTATAAATACACAAAGGTACATTTTTATGTCTATGAGTCCCCTGTGAAAATGAAAATGTGGAAAAACATACATTTATTTTAAAAGTTTTTCCTCTTTACAATATGATTTGGTGATCATTCTGTTTCAGCATAGGTAGATATTTCTCAGTTTTATTTATTTTAGAATATAGCATAATTTAGCCAGTCTTTCACTGTTAAAGGAAATATTATGATTAATATCCTTGCGTATATTTCCAGTATATCTGTATGAATGGAATACATCTCCAAAAGTAAATTTTCTGGTTTAAACTGTCTTGATTTTCTTATTTTATTTTAATAGATTTCTGTTATTGCTTGAGTATCTCTCATTCTCACTGGCGTGTGAGTTGTCTGAGGACAGGGATGATGTCTATTTTGGAGACCGCCAAAACCAAACTTACTGCCATCAAGTCAGTGCCAACTCATAGAAACCCCATAGGACAGGGTAGAACTGCCCCTGTGAGTTGATGAAACTCTAACCCTTTAAGGCAGTCGAAAGCCCCATCTTTCTCCCATTGTAGACCACAGTACATGTAAATTTTAGCACACCGACCAACATACTACAACAAGACTGTGTATTCTCTTGAATAAAGTTTCAAATGGAAATCTGAGCTATAGACTTTTTTTATCATTTTATTGGGGGCTCATACAACTCTTATCACAATCCGTACATATCTCAGTTGCGTAAAGCGCATTTGTACATTCATTACCCTCATCATTCTCAAAACATTTGCTCTCCACTTAAGCCCCTGGCATCAGCTACTCATTTTTCCCCCTCCCTTCCTGCTCCGCCCTCCTTCATGAACCCTTGATAATTTATAAATTATTATTATTTTGCCATATCTTACACTGTCCGACGTCTCCCTTCACCCACTTTTCTGTTGTCCGTCCCCCAAGGAGGAGATTATATGTAGATCCTTATAATCAGTTCCCCCTTTCTACCCCACCTTCCATCTACCCTCCAGGTATCGCCACTCTCACCACTGGTCCTGAAGCGATCATCCATCCTGGATTCCCTGTGTTTCCAGTTCCTATCTGTACCAGTGTACATCCTCTGGTCTAGCCAGATTTGTAAGGCAGAATTGGGATCATGATAGTGGGAAAGAAGGAAGCATTTAGGAACTAGAGGAAAGTTGTATGTTTCATCGTTGCTACACGGCACCCTGACTGGCTCGTCTCCTCCCCGTGACCCTTCCATAAGGGGATGTCCAGTTGCCTACAGATGGGCTTTGGGTCCCCACTCCCCACTCCCCCTCATTCACAATGATATGATTTTTGGTTCTTTGATGCCTGATAACTGATCCCTTCGGCATCTCATGATCACACAGGCTGGTGTGCTTCTTCCATGTGGGCTTTGTTGCTTTTGAACTAGATGGCTGCTTGTTTACCTTCAAGCCTTTAAGACCCCAGATGCTATATCTTTTGATAGCCAGCCACCATCAGCTTTCTTCACCACATTTGCTTATTCACCCACTTTGTCTTCAGCGATCTTGTTGGGAAGGTGAGCATCATGGAATGTCAGTTTAATAGAAGAAAGTAGTCTTGCATTGAGGGAGTACTTGAGTGGAGGCCCAATATCCATCTGCTACCTTAATACTAAACCTATAAATATATGTACATAAATCTATTTCCCAGTCCTCATATATAAATATATTTACATATGTACATGCCTTTATTTAGACCTCTATAAATGTCCTTTGCTTCCTAGCTCTTTCCTCTATTTCCTTTTACTTTCCTCTTGTCCCACTATCATGTTCAGCCTTCATTTGGGTTTCAGTGATTCCTCTTGGTTACATTACCCAGGCCTCCTACACCCTCCTCACCACCAATTTGGATCACTTGTTTTCATCCACTTTTTCTTTTCTTTTTTTTTCATTTTCAGTAAATATGCTTTCTGAAATGATGGGATCAATTGTAATGTACTCCTCTAAAGAAGATAAGAGTAGTTCATTTCATCCTACAACATCATTATTTTTAGTAAACGAATTTCTTCCTTTTATATTTCAGTATTCTATATTTCAGTTACAAAAAGAAAAGAAAGTGGGGCAGGGGAGAGGGAATTTATTGATTTTCAGTGTTAACAAAACTAACAGTGACCCCTGCTGGACAAAATGTCAGAGTAAGTCTTTAAAACTTTAGATGCGTTTTAAGGTTCCATTAATCAGAGTGCTTGTGAGACGTGAATATAATTAAAGTTAGGAGTCTTTGATGTTCTACAGAATTAAAGATGGAAATATATTTTCTCTTTTCAGGACAAAGTTATCTTGGGAAGTGATTATCCTTTCCCACTTGGTGAGCTGGAACCTGGAAAACTAATAGAATCCATGGAAGAATTTGATGAAGAAACAAAAGTATGTGCCTTCTCCTTCATGATCTTTTCCCTGAATTTCCCTGCATTAGCTGGGTTTGGCTTCAGAATATTTTGATAGGGATCACGAGGAATAGAGGAACTGTTACAGATATTATTTTTTGAACTGTTATTCTATCTTTAGAAATAGCTGAAATGCTAAAGAAAAAAGAAAAATGTTAAGTCGGCCATCAACTAAATTCTAAAACCAAGGGAAAAAACCTATGAAGAAACATAGTTAAGATAAATTCAAGCCTATGTCACTTAGCATCCATGTTACCTTCTGTGAAATAGAATGTTAGGTGACAAGAATGTTGTGGGAACACCATTTAAAGGCTGAGAGCTTGTCCCCAAAAACCATGTCCTCTACCTCACCTGCCTGTGGCCCACACTCAGTCCAGTGCAGCAAGAATGTGGATTTGGGTCTTTAAAATCATTAAGGGGAAGTAATAAACGAAAGGAGAGCTACTTTCCCTTTAAAATCAACAACAGCAAAACCCGTATAGGATGCCTGACATACATGCAGTTACACATGGTCCACATGGATGTTAGGTGCTGCACACCTGTGTTTGCTGGGTGACTCTTAAGAAACGTATCTCCATGTTTCAATTTTTCTTTCAGCATTTTTGGTACTAGTCTACCAATCTCAAATTCCATAATAATTTGAACTAATAATTTGATGTTAAAATGAACGCTTGATTAACAGTGGCCCAAGAAATCAAAGCTGTCAGACGACTGGAAATGTTTCTATTTATTTTGGCATTTGAGTTTTACAGTAGATGAATAATACTAAAAACCTAATTCTGATTCATGGCAACCCTACAGGACATAGTTAAACTTCCTCTGTGGGTTTCTGAGACCGTAGCTCTTTCTCCCTCAGAGTGGCTGTTGGTTTTGAACTGCTCTTTCTCCCTCAGAGTGGCTGTTGGTTTTGAACTGCTGACCTCGAGGTTAGCAGCCCTTCTCTTAACCACTATACCACCCAGGCTCCAAAACCAAGTTCATCACTGCGGAGTCAATTCCGCTTCATGGTGTAATTACTATAGGACAACAGAGTAGAACTGCCCCTTTGGATGTCTGAGACTTTTCCAGAAGAGACTCCTCTTTCTCCTGTGGATTAGCCAGTGGGTTCAAGCTGCCGACCTTGTGGGGGAGCGGCTCAGTGTGTAACCCACTACACCACCAGAGCTGATACTAACATGGGGCGAACATGCTGCTGTGATTATCCAATCACGTGGTTGGACGAAGCTTCTTCAGATTCCCTTCCCTTGGCATCTCTACACTCCCAACCCCACCAGAAAATCCAGGTTTTTCCTAAGGGTTTCACCACCAGTCGTTACTAGGAGCCAAGGATGCTCAAAAGAGCAAACCTGGTGATATAGAAATGCACAATAAATCTTACAAAATCTTACTCATAATTCTGCTTTCATCCTTAAGGACATGGCTCATCACGGCTTTCTTCTTAATAGGCTCGAACCACATCAACACATGCTGTGTACAGTCCATTCTGATGTGCGCACGTTTCAAATGATTAACTGGGAACGCTTTGACTGTTTTAGGCAGAAAGCATCTGTGGAAAAACAAATCTTGAATTATTAAATGCTTATGCAATAAAGTAGGAAGCTGCATAGTCATTTGATTTGGGGCTTTAAAAAATTTCCTGGAACTCACTGCCACTGAGTGCATTCTGACTCACAGAGACCCCGCAGGACAGAGTAGAAGTAGCCCTGTGGGATTACAAGACTATAAATCCTCACAGAAATAGAAAGCCTCCTGTTGCCCACAGAGCAGGTGGTTAGCAACTGCCAGCCTTTGGGTTAGTAGCCCGACTCCCAATCCACTGTGCCACCAGGGCTCCAACATTTTCTGTATAGTTATCCAAATTGAACTGAAAGCAGTTTGTACTCATCTTCCCCAATTGGGACTTGATGGGATAATAATTATTTTTATTCTTGTATACCTTTTATTATTTCTTTATATTTCCTTATCACTTTCAAGTTTTCAATAAAACCTACATCAATTTTTTTCTGCAGTCACGAACTCAAACTGATATTCGATACAAGATCACTCACTGTAACCATTGTTTGCAATATGAAAGACTGAAAACAAACTATAGGGGAATAGTTAAGTAGATAATTTATGCTTGATCAATTAGAAATTGACTTTCAAGAGACAGTGAGTTTTAAAAACATAATATAAAGCAATGTATTTGTATAATTCCATGTAATGGTCAGGCATTAGACTGAGATCTGCATGGTTGGCAGTTCAAAACCACCACCAGCTCCCAGGGGAAAGACTATGCTTTCTATTCCTTTTAACAGTTAGGGTCTAAGAAACCCAGAGAGGGGTCACTATGAGTCAGCATTGACTCAATGGCAGTGAGTTTGATTTTTTGGTTTATACCATATAAAATATACTATCTTATCTTATTTTTCAATAATGTGGTATGCCGTAATATACTTGTTGAAAATAAATACATTGAGAAATATAATCTCCTTATTGAGAAGCACACTATACTACAGTATGCATACTATTCAAAAATAAGATATATAGGGAGTATAAATTATTAAATGCTAGCATATTTAACCAAAATCATGGTGACTCAAACCCACCAAGAAGTACCTCAGAAAGAAGGCCTGGTAGCCTGCTTCTGAAGGTCCTGGTCTTGAAAAGTCTATGGAGCAGTTCTATTCTGCACACCTGGGTCATCCTAAGTTGGAATGCACTTGCTGGCGATGCGTGACAACAAATCTCGATCTCAATATGTACTTGTTGTTGTTAGCTGCCATCCAATCGATTCTGACTCACAGTGATAGGCAATCACGAGCGCAAACTCACTGCCATGAGTCAGCCCTGACTCTTCGTGATGAACTCCCGTAGGATTTCCAAGACTTGCAAATCTTGACAACGAGCTGATCGCCTTATCTTTTTCCTGGGAGGAGCGGACCTTGTGGTCAGCATCCCAATACCTAACACACAGTGCCAGCCATGATCTTTGGGCTAGAACAACGTTTCCCTCAGATCACAAGCACTGCTTCTGTGGAACCGATCTGGTCTATAGCTGGGGAAAAGACAGAAAAAGGTCCTGTGCCATCCTCGCAAATGTTTGAGCCCATTGTTGAAGCCACTATATAAATCCAATTCATAAGGGGCCTTCCTCTTTCTCACTACCCCTTGACAGGTCTGATGTCCTTCTCCAGAGACTGGTCTCTCCTGATTAGATGTCCAAAGTATATGAGACAAAGTGTCATTGTCCTTGCCTTTAAGGAGCATTCTGACTGTACTTCTTCAAGACAGATCAGTTTTTTCTTTTGGCAGTCTGTGGTATTTTCAATATTCTTCTCCAGCATCATAATTCAAATGCACTGATTCTTCTTTGGTCTTCCTTATTCAATGTCCAACTTTCATGTGCATATGAGGCCATTGAAAATACCATGGCTTGGGTCAGGCACACCTTAGTTTTCAAAGTAACATCCTTGCTTTTCAACACTTTAAAGAGGCCTTGTGCAGCAGATTTACCCAGTGTAATATGTCGTTTGAGCTCTTGACTGCATCTTCCATGGGTATTGATTATGGATTTAAGCAAGATGAAATCCTTAACAAATTCCATCTTTTCTATGTTTATCATGATGCTACCCTTTTGGTCCAGAAAATTTTAGGAGTCATATTTTCCTAGGAAGGGGCCCTGGTGGCACAGTAGGTTAGGTCTTGGGCTGCTAACCAGAAACTTGGTCGTCCAAATCCACCCAGCCACTCTGCAGTAAAAAGATGAGGCTGTCTTCTCCCATCAAGATTTACAGTCCCAGACACCCTAAGGGGCAGTTTACTCTACTTGAGTTGGAATCAACTCAGAGATAGTAGGCTTGGATTTGAAGGTTTTCTCATGTACATTATGAGATGTATCTCACCCATTCAGTGCCATCCAGCCAATTCCAACTCAGGACTGTCAGTAGAACTGGCCCTGTGGCTTTCCAAGACTGTCACTCTTGACTGGAATAGCAACATCTTTCTCCTTCAGGGTGACAGGTGGTTTCACACTGCTGGTCTTGTGATTGGCAGCCCAACACATCACTCACGTCCAGCGATCCTTTTATGAGATTTACAGATTTGTATAAATTTCTGAGATCATTAATCTATGTCATCTCCCTGCTCCCAAAGAGCTTTTATTCAGGTCTGTTTAAAAAACATATGCCTAAAAGCTAGTGTCTTCTGGGTACTGCTTCCGGCTCGCTTGTTAAACAGTAGATCTAAACTACCTTTTCTCTGCATTACCTCTCATTCATTCTCTGGAGGGTCCTCGAAAAGTTTCCAGAGAATGGCATTTTCTAAGAGGGCTCTCCCATTTAAAAGTCTCTTCCTCTCCTTCTACCAGCAAATGTTCAGATTTAGATTTCAAGGTGGGGAAATCACAAGACAACAGCATTTGGCAAAAGACCCACTGTTTAGTCTGCTAATATTTTTCTTTCATTTCAAGGAGTTGATTTTTTAAAAATTTACAACTTAAAACCATCTATAATGTTTTTAAATAAAACTTTTTCTTTTCTTTTTTTTTTTCCAGGATAAACTCAAAGCTAAAAATGCCCTAGCATTTTTGGGTCTTGAGCAGAAACTATTTGAATGATGGAATTTACTACAAACTCTCAAGAAGATAGTCGAGTTCTGTTTCAAAGTGTGTGTTGCATATTCATTACTAAAACCCTTTTAAAAATAGTTCACCCAGAAATAGACTATCCACAGATATCCAAAATGATTTGTAATGAAAATGATTCACAAGTGTTTTATTCTGAAAAGCAGTACATCATTTCACAGGTGAATAACAAGATTTTCTTAGAACATTTTAAAATAGTTTGGCAGAAATAATAAAGTGTCATTAACGATTTATATGGGGGGAAAGATTAAAACCAGACTTATAGTAGAGGGCTCAGGTACGTTGTTTAATTTGAGCAACTACATGTGAATTGCACCCCAAATCACAACACTTTCCATTAGCCTAGAACTGGTCAGAGAATCCTTAGATTCCACAAAATAAGTGATATATATATTCCATAACCTCAAGGAGCTTATAGTCCCATTAAGGCAGTTACTTAGGTAATAAGACACATATTTATGGAATAATTATACAGCATGATTTTTTTTTTAAGTTCCAGTAAGAGGAATTCAACTGGCGCTCAGACTGTGGGGCTGAGTTTCAGAAATGGTGTAAGTTGGGCAGAGTAGAGGATGAATAAGGTTATTTTAGGGGTGCAGGGTGGAAAAAGGATAGGAAGACATAACTGTGGGAATAAGCATTGCACATTGAATGACACATCTGCTCTAGAGAAATGCTCAAGTCTTAAATGTATGTTTATCAGAAACCTGTGAATTTCAAATACTAAGCAGAATTTGTAGAAGTAGCTGGTTCTATCTACTTCATTGATAGCCCCACTGGGCTGCTGAAAATGAACATCGTGTCCTGCAAAAATGTGATGAACATGAATGGCTCCGATGCCTCTAGTTGAAACCCAAAATCAAATACGATTTTTCAAAATCAATCTTGTAGTTCGGATTCA